TTGTCCAGTTCCCCTCAAGAATGCTGCTTGGTCCCCAACTTGTTGGTATCATGGCAGAAGGACAGGGTATTTTGGAGAGTGGGAACTGGGATGCTGGTCCAGCACCCACAAATTGCTTCCTCACCAACCAGAGGACAAAGGAGTTGCTTCCCATGACATTCCTCTTCTAAGCTCATTCACATGAAAATGCAGGTGAGCTGGTTATGGGGCAGCTCCAGGGCAGCAGTTGTGGAACATTAATCAGATGCCCAGAGAAGCTATACGAAAGGTATGATGGGGGCCACTGGTCCCAACACCTCCTGGCAAATAGAAGGGGAAGAAATGGAGGCAGTGAGAGATTTTACTTTCTTGAGCTCCATGATCACTGCAGATGGTGACAGCAGCCACAAAATTAAAAAAACGCCTGCTTCTTGGGAGAAAAGCAATGACAAACCTAGACAGCATCTTAAAAAGCAGAGACATCACCTTGCCAACAAAGGTCCATATAGTTAAAGCTATGGTTTTCCCAGTAGTGATGTATGGAAGTGAAAGCTGGACCATAAAGAAGGCTGATTGCCGAAGAATTGATGCTTTTGAATTATGGTGCTGGAGGAGACTCTTGAGAGTCCCATGGACTGCAAGAAGTTGAAACCTATCCATTCTTAAGGAAATCAGCCCTGAGTGCTCACTGGAATGACAGATCCTGAAGCTGAGGCTCCAATACTTTGGACACCTCATAAGAAGAGAAGACTCCCTGGAAAAGACCCTGATGTTGGGAAAGATGGAGGGCACAAGGAGAAGGGGACGACAGAGGACAAAATGGTTGGACAGTGTTCTCGAAGCTACCAGCATGAGTTTGACCAAACTGCGGGAGGCAGTGGAAGACAGGAGTGCCTGGCGTGCTCTGGTCCATGGGGTCACGAAGAGTCGGACATGACTAACGACTAAACGACAACAACAACATGATGGGGGAAGGTTGAGAGAGAGGCCCCAGGAAATTTATGAGTAGAGGGGAACAGATACTAGAAGTGTGAAAATGACAAGACAACAATGGCAGGAAGAAAACTGGACTGCCTGCAATTAGTGACCCAGCAGTAAGGATCCCACTCTAGGCATTCTCTGAGGCTAAGAGGCCATATTGGGTTCTGAGGATCCTGGGGATCTAAAGAAGGAGATATCTGACAATGACCTTGAAGAAAAAATAGTTGCTGAGCGAGCAATGAAGTACACTTTTTCCTCTCTTTGCAATATGTTCCCAGTTGCACACTTTCTGCAGAAAGTTTCCCTAACTTCAGTACATTCTTCACACAAATGTGTAAGATGAATTCCTGCAGATTGTCTCGGTACCAGGGGCAATTTAAACCACACAAATGCTGTGTAGTTTACAACGAGCATGGGAAAAGGGGTTTAAAAAAACCCAGTAGATACTGACATCTGAGGCATCATTAACTAAGACTCATAGTGTTGAGCCCAGTCATTTATTGGATTCACATACAGTATAATGACCCACTTTCAGTCAGTGTTGTGAGCTGGGTTTCCATTCCTTTCAGATATATTGACAATCTGGCAAGTGCGTTTTTGGCTCTGGTTTCCCTGTACTTATTTCATACAATAGAAAGTCTATTAGAAGGATATTAGAGCTTTAATTATAATATGGGCACTCTTTCATTTTGCTACACGCTAGTAATTCCCAATAACGCTAATGGAAATTATCCAGCGTCAACAAAAGAATGTGCCTTAGATGCTAACAGCCAAAGAACCAAACATATCAGAGACAGATGAAGGTTCTGGGAAGTACCGGTAACTGAATAAAAGACAGTTGAATGACAAGACAGAGAAGCAATAGATATTGACTATAAAAAAACCATGAAAAAACTTACACACCCACCCACCCAAAATCTCCCCAATATTTAATTTACTTTAACTTCAAAATTAAATTATTCCTGATAGTAACTAAAAGTGAACAGGGATCTTAGATGGGCAGCGTAATTAAATATAATTGAAAAAGAGAATGCAAACTGCTGAAGTCAAAAGCTGGATCAAGAGGAGAGTGGCATGTGTGCACCTTTGAATAGTTCTGGTATTTTTTAAAGGAATGTTCCTCTTGCTTTCCTGACCCTTAGGATTGTTCTGCATGAGCAGAGATCTGCGACAGAGCCAACCCTGTACCCAAAGCCCTGCCAGCTTGCTCCAGCTCTCTCTCTTTTCAAATCTCCCTGGCAATTATTGCTATGTACCATTTCCCCTCCCACTGACACCAATAGGAGGAAAAATGCATGCCCCTGCTCCAGGGTAGCACAGACTGTCAAGCCCAATGGACTGGTTGGTTAAGGGGGATGAGGGAGCTTTGGATGCAAGGGATGCTATTCTGGCAGTATCTCTGCAGTTCTGCAGAAACATTGCTGGCAGTAGTGCCATGACCACAGAGTTTTTCATGGATATATCAGTCTGGGTATATCTCCCTGCCAGCAGAGCTCCCCTCTGCCAGCAGAAGAGCAATTTTAACCTACTTTAACACCTCCCCACACCCACCTCAGGCAGTATTCAGCATGGATTAGTATTGCTTTGTTATATTATTAAGTTGTTCCCCCTAATATTTGGGGCTGCTAGCCATCATCTGTCAAAATATACATAATTGCATCCAATGTCACTTTTGATACCACAGCGATAAAGGGGATGACACTTTTGCTTCCTCTGCTTGAGATAAACAAGGGCCAAGTGGATCAAACTTATTCTGCCACATAAATAAGAAATGTTCTTATGGTGTTTATGATGGGGGCGGGGTTCTTAACTCACATGTATTCATAGTCATTCTGCATTTGCTCATTCATTTCCCCTCTGCTACTGGTCTGTCTACAACAGGTGCAAGGAACAGAGGACTTTCAGCACAATGTCCTTCTATTCTGACTCTGCAATGAAGGCTTCCTCTCCCCCGATGACTTCCCATAGAAACCAGCAAGAAGCCAAATATTCTGGCTGGATCATTCTAATCCATATTATCTTGGAGTGATCTGTTATTCAGCAGGGGCCAGCAGAATGATGCCTTTGATTTCCCCATTGCTGCAGTTGACTTTGTCAAGGTGCAGTGCAAGAGGTGGGATTTCCAGAGCTGCAGCACATTCCCAGAGCTACAACACCCACCACCAGCCACTAGTGTGTCTCAGTATAGAAGCATAGCTATGTAAGACTGGTCTGCTGCTGCTGCTGCAATAATAAATGAGAGAGATTTGTGGCACTTTATCAACTGTGCAATGGAAACAAGTAAAGCAGAATGTCTCTACTATCTCCAGCCCGCTCCCCCTCTCTCGATGCTTTCTGAAGGGGACTGAGAAGAGCTCTGTTCCCTGGCATTCCATCAATAGAGATCAAACAGACTGCTTATCCTGAGCTGGGAAAAGCTACCAAGATCAGGTAAAGCCCCTCAAACTACTCCCCTGGATCTTAGTAAGAGTTGCTTTACATTAAACATCCGCCCCCACTTAGGTAGCGTACATGACTGCAGAGAGGTACAAGATAAACAGTGTCACATGTGAAAACTGCACAAGGATTTTATGTACCCAGTGCACAGTCATATGATGCAGGGGAGCATGGGCTTCCAAACTTGCGGAACAAGCACTTTCCTCATTTGAGGCTGTGGTCTAAACCACTGAGCCTCTTGGGCTTGCCAATCAGAAGGTTGATGGTTCAAATCCCCACAACGGGTGAGCTCCCGTTGCTCTGTCACAGCTTCTGCCAACCTAGCAGTTCAAAAGCACACCAGTGCAAGTAGATAGATAGGTACCGCTGCATCAGGAAAGTAAACAGCATTTCCATGTGCTCTGTCCCTTGTCACAGTGTCCCATTGCGCCAGAAGCAGTTTAGTCATGTGGGCCACATGACCCGAAAAGCTGTCTGTGGACAAACACTGGCTCCCTCAGGCTGAAAAGCAAGATGAGCCCTGCACCCCATAGTTGCCTTTGAATGGACTTAACTGTCCAGGGGTCCTTTACCTTTTAACACAAGCAGTTTTCACCTAAGTGCATGTACAGCACCTGTGCAAGAAATATCACCTGTATGTGAAGCACCTGCAGTAGCTAAGCATCAGCAGAACTTGCTTACTCTGCACATGAGAACAATGAATACATCCACTGTTTTTTTTAAAAAATGCACCAAAGCCCTGTTCAAATCAATGAGATCTAGGAAACCTCAGCATCCTCTAACTTGTGTTCTGTCCATTGCACAGTTTCAAGGTTGAAGCAGATCAGTAGCCACTTGCATGCCAGAAGTTTTTTTTTTTGTTTATTTTTAACAGATGCACTGCATTTGTCCACACTTCAAAACTTGCTTACAGCCCATTATTTTTGGACTATAGTAGCACACGCGTGGGCTTTTTCACTGGTGGCACCAAGCACTGTGGAATGCCCTCCCAGCTGAAATATGAGAAGCCCCATCACTATTGCCGTTCCATCACTTCTAGAAGACACACCTATTTAGGAAAGCATTCCCCTGAACTTAGAACTTGTGGTCTAATCATTTTGCTTTCTAGTTTGTTATGCTTCTTAACTGGCTTGCTTTACTGCACTTTTAAATTATGGATGTTTTTTAATGCTTTGATGGAATTGTTTATTGAGTATTTTAATCATGTATGGATTTTGTAATTGATTTTGTATGTGTAAATACACAGGCCCTATTTGGGCCTTTAAGGAGGATATAAATAAATAATCCTTTCCACCTTTAAAGGTAGACAAAAGTGACTGGAATATATTTATGTACATAACCCTGTTTAAGATTTAATTTCAGTACAATGACAAAACACCAGTACTACAGGTTAGGCATCTATAGTCACAGTTATACAAGGATGAAACCAGCATGAACGATTCAACGGCAGAAGCTGGTGCATCACTGATCCAAGTCAGGCGGTGATTCTACACAACCATATTGCCTCAAATGCCAGTGAACTTTCTCCACACATTCTAGGGAGGGATGGTAACAGAGCCAGGAAAATATCCCTCTCTCAGCTGAAAAGTGTGAAGCACAATTACCTTTTTCACAGAAGCGTCCAGTAAAATGCAGACGGCAGTCACATTGAAACGAGTTGACGCCATCAGGAAGATTGATGGGATGGCATGTCCCTCCATTACGACACAAATTCTCTTGGCAGACTGACAACGAGACTGGGCGAGCAGGTGAGGGCAAAGCTGACTTGAGTGCTTCGGAAACAGCGCCAGAGACATCCATCGGTGTTTCTTCAGACAGAGGAAATCTGTGAGACAATATTAATTTTATTTGAAACATTTGTGACTCGTTCAACAAGTCCCCCACCAGCTTCAGAGGCAGTGGTCCGTTGGGTGTCAGCTGTCAGGAGGGTGACTATTGATGTCATGCCGGGTTGAAGAGCTTAGCACAGGCACCTAGCTGGCCATGGTGAAAGGTAGGCTCAAGACATCTTCCTACCTGAAGTGAATTACAATATAGTGGACATATTCCACATATAAAAGCTGGTCAGATCTTAAAGGTAAAGGGACCCCTGACCATTAGGTCCAGTTGTGACCGACTCTGGGGTTGTGGCACTCATTTCGCTTTATTGGCCGAGGGAGCTTCTGGGTCATGTGGCCAGCATGACTAAGCCACTTCTGGCGAACCAGAGCAGCGCACGGAAACACCGTTTACCTTCCCGCCAGAGCGGTACCTATTTATCTACTTGCACTTTGACGTGCTTTTGAACTGCTAGGTTGACCTTCTGATCGGCAAGCCCTAGGCTCTGTGGTTTAACCCACAGCGCCACCCGCGTCCCTGGTCAGATCTTACCTCAGCACTAAAAATGGGACAGCACCTCCCATTGCACTTGAGGACAGCAGACTAGCTCAGAGGGCACAGGGCAGCCACACAAAACTGTGAAAAACAGGATTCTGAACTGGGTGTATATTTGGTCTGATCCAGCTGGGCTCTTCTTATGAACACATTGCAGTAACTCAGCCTCCACCAGAAAGAAGATCTTCACTCTTCCTTCCAAGCAGGCTAGCATAAAGCATGCACACACACAAATACACACAACCCCCATCCTCTTAGGAAGATTACTACATATATTGTATTGCTACGACAAACAGCACTATGGATTCAAAATTCTGAGCCGTGGGGCCTGGACTTCAGCCCCAAGTTCCAGTCCTAGCTGCACCACTGGATGTTGGAGAGATTTTTTTTTAAGCTTTCTCTCAGAGTCCCTGGAAATAGCACTGGTGGTTCTTGAATAGCAGCCCCAGTATTCCAATCATATTTGAAAGCAGAAGTTGTAAATCTGCTCCAGCGTAACTGCCAGACTCTCAGCATGCAAAATAATCTGTGGCTGATTATGAGCACAGAACAAATGTCATGCAGGATAGCTAGCAAGAAATACAAAAACACCAAGATACCCTTATCGAAGCAAAACACATGGAACACTTAACATAAAGCCAGATGTCTCCAGGAGATTCAGGCCTTTAATAAAACTACCCAGTGAAAAAAAGTATTATTTGCATTATAGATAGGGGGTATTGCATCCATTTGGTGATGTGAGGAATGCTTTGTTTGCTAAAGAATCAGTGGTCAGTTCACAAAATACTGAGCCTCTATTACAGACACTAAAATAATGCCCTCTGCATAGCTAGCTCTGTGACAAATTGCTCTGTTCAAAGGGAGAACTAAGTCTGATTTCTACACTGGGTCTGAAAGTTGAGTTTATCACCCCAGTTTTCTTTGCAACAGATTCCATGTTAAAGGGGGATGCTAGCCCTCCTCCATATAAGTGTACAGAAAATGTAGGATTCAGGGATAGGTCTTTAGGCACATAGGTTTTGCCAGTATATTTCCTTTACTTAGAAGGACTTAAGCATTACAGAAAAGATTAATAAGGTTAAAAACATTATAAAATACAAGCTAACACAGTTCTAAAGTATTGACACAGAGCCTAGAGACCCTTATTAAATCAGAACTACCTGATTCAGCAAGTCTATCTGTTCCATGAACTGTCCTAGACCTCTGGGTATAGGGCGGCATATAAATTCTAATAATAATAATAATAATAATAATAATAATAATAATAATAATAATATCTAGAACAGTAGTAAAAAGGTGATATGGGCCTCCAAAGGAAAGAGGGACAAATGCTGAAAGGAAGGGATATTTATACTATTATTCCCCCCAAAAAACTTTAAATAAGGCTATATTCAGCAAAATATCCAAATTCATGAAAGAATTTGATGTATTGTATGTCAAGGCATGCGGGTGGTGCTGTGGTCTAAATCACTGAGCCTCTTGGGCTTGCCAATCAGAAGGTTGGCGGTTCGAATCCCCGCGACAGGGTAGGCTCCCGTTGCTCTGTCCCAGCTCCTGTCAACCTAGCAGTTCGAAAGCATGCCAGAAAGTGAAAGTAGATAAATAGGTACCGCTCCAGTGGGAAGGTAAATGGTGTTTCTGTGCGCTGCTCTGGTTTCGGTGTTACGTTGCGCCAGAAGCAGCTTAGTCATGCTGGCCACATGACCTGGAAAAACTGTCTGCGACATATGCCGGCTCCCTTGGCCTGTAAAGCAAGAGGAGTGCCGCAACCCCAGAGTCTTCTGCGACTGGACTTAACTGTCAAGGGTCCTTTATCTTTACCTTTTTATGTCAAGATACATTGTAAGTTCTGCAGTAATTTGGTTATACAACATAAAAACCAAATAATTTTAGCAAGATCTAATAAAACTACATCAAATAAAAACAACTGCTATTTTAAGAAGCGTATCTGGATAGAAGTTATCTTGTGAGCAACCATGAGATCTTTTGATGAAGGGCAGCATATAAATCTAGTAAAATAAATTAATAAATAGCTGTTACATAGACATTAGGTAAAGGTAAAGGTACCCCTGCCCGTACGGGTCAGTCTTGACAGACTCTGGGGTTGTGCGCCCATCTCACTCAAGAGTCCGGGGGCCAGCGCTGTCCGGAGACACTTCCGGGTCACGTGGCCAGCGTGACAAAGCTGCATCTGGCGAGCCAGCGCAGCACACGGAACGCCGTTTACCTTCCCACTGGTAAGCGGTCCCTATTTATCTACTTGCACCCGGGGGTGCTTTCAAACTGCTAGGTTGGCAGGCGCTGGGACAGAGAAGCGGGAGCGCACCCCGCCACAGGGATTCGAACCGCCGACCTTTCGATCGGCAAGCCCTAGGCGCTGAGGCTTTTACCCACAGCGCCACCCGCGTCCCACTACATAGACATTAATAACACCTAAATTATATTGATATGAAAATATTTCTGGTTCACATCTGAGCAATACTATAATAATTTTTATTATTTATATGCCGCCCATCTGACTGGGTTGCCCCAGCCAATCTGCGCGGCTTCCAACAAATGAAACACATTAAGTACAGTAAAACTTTCCTAAACACTAAATGTATCAGTGTTAAAAACAGCATTCACTGTGAGCACAACTTGTTCATCTAATTTATAAACGTCTAGCCAATTAAACACTTTCTTTTTATAAAAGACATCAGTCAAGATAGGAAATGGGGGGAAGTGATGTACCAGTTTGGTTTGCAAATCTGGCCGTATCACATAAATACCAAGATGCCTTTTAATCCAATTGTAATCATTTTAATTGATGATTAATTGTTTTTGGAACCAGCCAACGTGGATGCTTATATGGGCGCAGAACTGGATTTGCCATAGATCATTGCTATGCATGTTTTCTTGGAAGCACAGCCTGCTGAACGCAACAGAAATTACTTGCAAGCAAGTGTGCACAAAATTGCCATATTTATTTTAGAAACTTGTGCTCTGCCATGCTGACAAATTTTGAAGTGGCTTACATCCTAAGAGAGGAACGAGGGAGCTGTGAGCCTCCAGATGTTGTTGGGACTCCAACTTCCATCAATCCCACCCGGTCAAGAACAATGGAAGTTGTAGTCCAACAACATCTGGAGGGCCACAGCTCTGAGACATTGTAAAATAATTAAGAATATCAATTAAAACAAATAATAAGAGAGCCAGCTCAAATGCACCTACATCACTCAGGCACTCCTGGTAATGGGCACCAGCTGCAAGTTTGAGAAGCAAGGCTGGATTCAGTGTTCCTCACAGACTGCAAACCAGATAGACCCCACTCCCACAATCATCTCCATCTTACTCGTATAGTTTCCCAATTCCCTTACTGAGAGTCTAAAGGAGACTACCTTGAAGAAGACAACAACAGGATTCTGCTCCTGCCTGGTTTTGTTGATTTCCCCAAATAGCCAGATAGGGATCTATTGCTCTCAGAATCTTTCTTTTAAAAGGTGCCCAATTGTTAATGTAACAATGTTTCTTCCAGACCTCCTTTTGGTTAGCCCCCTTTCATGGGAAAATGCCTGTGCAAGGTCATTAACAGAGCAAATATCTGCAACTGCTTTCAGAATTCATTCCAATTGCTATGAATGAGTAATACTCCTGACTCCAAACGGTTTAACTAAAATGCTTATTTGAATAAAGAGCTAGGAAGCGTTTAAAAGGCATTTAGGTGTTGGAAGCTTCAGCAGTGCACAGCAAAAACGCACAAAATGGACAACACTGATTTTCCTTCCTCCTCCCATTATTCCCCTCTATTCTGCAATACTGAAATGATGCTATTCAGCCAACTTTAGGGCTGCTATAGGTTAATGTTTAGGCTAATGTGCAACTGTGTTATTTTTTTTATTAAAAAAAATGAAATAACTCAATTAAGAATTAAGGCTATTATGCTATGCACATTTGCTGCCCAGTAAATATGCACAAGAATGGGTGAAAAGGTAAATGTGGCCTGTTGTACATACAAGGTTGGTATTTAGGATCTCATACCCTAGGAGCTCAAGCTTATTGCTGGCATAAAATGTAGCAGGAAGGGAAGAATTGTAATTAAATTGTGCCCAGATCTTTAACATTTTTAATGTGAAACAAATTTCCCTTTTAGATTCACACTGCAGGAGCTCAGCTGGTAGTTTATCCTCCACCCTTTCTTTCATTTCACTCTCCCTCGCACACAGATCATCCCCATTTACATGCCTTTTTCACTATCCTAAAGTCTCTGTGGCACGCACACACACACGTACGCACAATTATCACTTTTACCCCCCTTTCCCTATCACTTCCTCCCTCCTTTTTTCAACTCTCCCTTGCCCACAGTCCACCCCTCATTTCCATGCCCCGTCCTCTCTCTCATTATGCATCCCTCTTTGCACCCCCCCCCATGAAGATACGTCACTGTATCTTTAAGCAAATAGAATTTCAAGAGTA